ATCTGGAAATGGGGATGATTATTGCACCTATGTCACAAGACTATTAGGAGGATCAAATGAGACAATAATTGTAAAGTGTTCTGCACTATGTAAATTCTAGTAATTTATTGTTCAGTAGTGAAGATGAGAAAGGAGAAAGAGAATAAGAAAAAAAATGTATGGATGGAATGTGAAAAGGGTAAAATAAAACACTAATTTTATAAGGAAAACAATCACAACGAGCTCTCTAGGACACCCAAACTATGTTACTGGAATGCAGTTTCTCAAGGTCCTTATGTTCATAACTTGTTGATCCAACAACATTGGATTGGTTTTAACCTTATGGCAGCTCAGATCCTCCAAACTCAAGCAATCCCCAATCTTCAGACGCCTATTGGTAGGGGTTACAGGTATACGACACCAAGCCTGACTATGTGGTGAATATATGCACAGGTTTGAAATGCCCTAGCCACTATCTGCCCCCAGAGCTTGCAGGTCTTAGAGACAAGAACAGCTGAGTTGAAGGCTTACTCAGACACTTCCTGTGTGACCCTGGGCAAGTCCACTTCCCTGAAGTTGCTCTCTTAAGTCTTGCATCTGTAACTTGAGCCACTCAATACCATACCCAGATAACTTGGGAGGCCATGTGGGAAGGTGGACAAAGCCTTGGATTTGGAATCAGAAAACTTTGATTTGAATCCTGGGTTTGCTCCTTACTATTGGTCTGATCTCTGGCAAATCACTTAACTACTCTGGGCCCCATTTTCCTCATTTTCCTCATTTCCTGTTAAATAAGAGCATTGCACTAGATGATCACCAAGGATATCTTGTCATTATAATATCATTTCCTGTAGATGAGAAGATTGTGATAAACCTCCTATAGATACTCCTTTTTAAAGTGCTATTAGCTTAAAAAGCACTTTCCTCCCAACAATCACATAAAGTATGTAGACTATTATCCTTTATTTACAGATGAGAAAACTTAGAGTCAGAGAAATGGTATCTTGACTAGGACCAGGTAGTTATTGAGTCATGAAACCAAAGCTTTGACTTTCCTAAAGTGTTTCTAGCAATGGGAATCTCTGGGACGAAGGGTATGGATATCCTAGTCACCTTTTTATTTTAAAGCTTTTTTTGGAATTGTTGGATCAATTCACAGTTCCATCAAACAGTGTGTTAGTGTGCCTGTCTTTAGGCAGCCCTTTCATTACTGACTTTTTCCTTCATTTGTCATCTTGGCCCACTTGTTGGATATGATGTGAAACCTTCAAGTCATTTTGATTCATGTTTCTCTCATTAATGATTTGGAAAAATCTCTCATGGGGATATTAGTAGTTTGCAATTTGTCTTTTGAGAATTTTTTGTTCCTATCTATTCAACAATTTCTCCACTTACATAATGAAACCTTTAGACAATTTTTCATGAAATCTTACAACAAACAATATTTTTACAGGTACACATTGAACTAGACAGAAAGATGACTTCGAAGGTTTGTTCCAAGAAATTTAAAAGAATCTACTTAGATAGATATCTGTGTTAGTAATTTGAAATTAGATGATCTTTTCATGTAATTTATGTACGTTCAGCTCTGGAAAGATTTCGGAGATTTGGGTGGAAAACGTTAAATATGAGTGAATTTGTTTTGTGAAAAAATAGAGAATTGAATTGTTTTCTCAATGGAAGGATCAGGATTTCAACATTCATTAATAAATATGCAATATTCTCAATTTACATTGACTGTTATTTTTCTTCTGTGAGTGAAAGATCTTAGAGATAAGTTCTGATCTTAATTAGACAACAGCTGGGTCAATATTGTCAGCATAAATATAAAGTTCCAGATGCTTGATATGTCTAATATTCTCTGAAAAAAACAAACAAAAAAACCCCACTAAGTCCTTAAAGGTTACCTATCATTATGATCCTGGGAAATTTTACAGGCTATTTTCACCTTGAGTTTTAAACTATTAGTAATATTTTTTTCAGAATACAAATAAGTCTGTGCTCCAAGTGGGCATCTATTCAAATTAAAATTTGCTAATTTGTTTCTTAAAGGAGTATAAATAGTTGCTGAAAAGAGGGCTAACTACTTCAAAGCAAAATGAAGCTCTTGCTGTTGCTTTCAGTCCTTGGGGTCTGTTGGGCACAGTATGATCCCCATACCAAATATGGCCGAACATCTATTGTCCACTTATTTGAATGGCGCTGGGATGACATTGCTCTCGAATGTGAGCGTTACCTAGCTCCCAATGGCTATGGAGGTGTTCAGGTATGTACACTTCAAAATTTATTTGATATTCATATTCTAGGCACAATAAATAATTTTAATTTATGCCTGTAACTACAAAGAAAAGAGGATAAAATGAAGGGGTTGACTAGATGATCCTGAGGGACCCTTCTAGTTATAAGTACTAGGCAGTGTAGTGTATAGAGTCTGGGACCTTGAATTAGGAAGAGCTAAGTTCAAATCCAGCCTCAGACACTAGGTGTCTGACTATGAGCAAATTCTTTAACTTCTCTCTGCCTCAGTTTCATCATCTGTAGAATGGGGATAATAATAGCAGGTTTCATTATTACTTATCTCCCAAGGTTGTTGTGAGAGTAAATTAGTTAATATTTATGAAGTGATTTGCAACTTTTCCTGTGCTATATAAATCGCTAGTCATTATTATTAATTCCTATCTGAACAAGCAGTGTCATACAGAGGCAAAATCATTGGTTTTGTTTTTCAGTTGTGTCCAACACTTCATGACCCCATTTGGGTTTTTTGTTGTTGTTGTTTTTATCAAAGGTACTGGAATGATTTGCCCTTTCCTTCTCCAGCTCATTTTGCAGAGGAGAAACTGAGGCAAACAAAGTTAAGTGACTTGCCCAGGGTAATAGAGCTAGTAAGTGTCTGAGGCCAGATTTGAACTCAGGAGGATGAGTCTTCCTGACTTCAGGTGCAGTGCTCTATCCACTATACCACCTAGGTTACCTGAAAGCACTGGACCTGGGATTTAACAATATGAGTTCAAATCCTGGTTCTGTCACTTACTACCTTTGTAATCTTGGTAAAGTCACCTTAAAGATTTGTGTCTCAGGTTCCTCATCTGTAGGTGGTTGTACAGGATGACCTTTCTGTCTCCTTCTAGTTCTAAATCTGATTCTACAAGTTAATGTATGTGAAATGATCTTTAAGAACAGTTATGATGCTATGCAAATAAGGGTTTCCACCAAAGTAACTCATTGATCCCTTGTTTGAATCTTTAATACTGTATCACAATTCATTGCGTTAATGCATTTTGAAACATTTTAAAATATAACACAAAATATGAATTACATATTACTAACCCCTTACCCTTCCCAAAATATAGGTCTCACCTCCAAATGAGAATGTAGTGATCAATAACCCTTCAAGACCTTGGTGGGAAAGATACCAGCCAGTTAGCTACAAGATATGCTCACGGTCTGGAAATGAAGATGAATTCAGAGACATGGTCAAGAGATGCAACGATGTTGGAGTAAGTGGATTACAAGTTATTTAATTCAAGGGTTCTTATTCTGGGGTCCACAAATCCCCTTGAGGTCTGTGTACAAATTTCAGGTGGGTCCATGAACTTGGATGTCATAACATTATATTCTTATTTTCACTAACTCTAAGTGAGATTTAGAATTTCCTTTGGTTATTGAAAAATTTCTTTCAGAGAAGGGGTCTCTTGGTTTCAGCATATTACCTAAGGGATCAATGACACAAGAAAAATTGAGAACCCCTGTTTGACGGTTCAGGAGATTACATTGTTAACTTTTCCTGCCTTATGCATGCTGCTTCCATCTAAATTGTGATTATTGTGATGGTAATTTGATTGATGTCCCTGTGATCAGTGTCCCTATGATCTCCCTGTGATCTATTAGAGATTTCTTCTAATAGAACAGATTTGACCTCTATCTACTCCTCCCTATCCCATACAACTTTTGTCTCTGTCCTGTAACTCTTCCAACCACTTAAAAAACACACACACATTCACACACATGTGCATACCTTCTAGTTCAAAGTTAGTAGCTATCTAAAAGTCATCATTTCTAAATCATCTTTTGGAGTTCATTTATGTGTCAGAGAGAATTTAAGTCAAATAAACACAATGGTAGTAGAGTTGACCCGTGCTTTTCTGAGGAAAAAACTAGTTAAACTAGGAAAAAATGCATAATTTCAAAGGCTATCCCTGTTTCCAACTAAAACTGGATGTTGCTCATCAGTCCTTGAAGTTTTAATTTGCTTCTCCTACAATGTATGCAATATACTAATGAATGCATTATGCTTTTGTGCACAAATGATGTATTATTCACCAGAATTCATAATCTAATCTCTCGTGATCAACTTTTATTTCATGTACAGATGAGATGGCAAAGGGGTTGTGCCATAATAAGTCTGCCCACTTTGAAACCTTTTGCTCTCCCAATCAACATGTTCACAGGCAGCCTAATGGACTGCAATAATGTTTTAAAGATGCTTGTTAGAGTGAGACTCTCACATGGGCAGCAAACACACTATAATGAACTTGTTTACAACACACATGATCAGTTTAGTGAGTTTATCCAAACTGATTTAATGAAGTAATTGGTTTATTTCAATTGACCAGTGAGTTCAGTCAAAACAGTTGGATCAGTTGTGTGTGGGTATAAATACATTCTTAGGAAAGACAAATAAAATATGTTTAATCTGTTCTTTTGGGAAAGAGTTCCATTGGAAAAGGTAGTACATTTGAGAAAAGAGAATATTAGCTCCTTGAAATTAGGATTGTTTGGTTTTGTCTTTGCATTTTCAATGACTGACTTTAAAAAGTGCCCTGCAGGGGTATTTGTTATATTATAATATAAGAGGAAAGAAGGAGAATATATTAAGTTAGGTTCATTACCTGATTTAATGTTCAAGGTTCTATCTTCTAAAAGGAACTAAGGGTCTTGTCAAGACTTTATTAGTATCTGCCATCTCCTTGACAGCTGATGGCTCAGAGAGCTGGACCTAGAGTCAGGAAGACCTGAATTAAAATCTGGCCTAGATGATTACTAGCTGTGTGACCCTGGGCAAGTCATTTACCCACTGTCTGTCTCAGTTTCTTCATTTGTAAAATGGGACTAATAATAACACCTACCTCCTAGTTTTATTGTGAAGATCTAATGAGATAATCATTGTAAAGTGCTTAGCACAGTGCCTGGAACGTGAGAAGTGCTACATAATTGTTAGCTTTTTATAATTATTATCATCCTGCTAGTTTTATTTAGTTGTAAATCTCTTATTTGCTGTATTCATCTGGTGTTCAAATGTGGATCTTTAATGAGAGACAATATGGTATGAGGGGAAGAATGTTTTTGAGCCCTGACTCTGCTTTCCTCTAACCAGATGACCCTGGGCAGATCATTCATCCTCCCTAGGGTTTACTTTCCTTGCCAGTAAAATAAGGAGAGTCCTGTTTGCCCTGCCCGCTTTATAGGAGGTTTGAAAGGATTAAATGAGACAATACATGTAAATGGGCTTTGTAAACTGTAATGCATAATATAGATAGAAGTTGTTATTCTTGTGGGTGAGTAAAAATGGGGGAAAACAGTGACTTTTGTCCCCTTCAGTGAGTCCTCCCTTCTCTTGTTATAATGAAATAAAGTAAAAAAGAGCAAAGCAAAACCATCTGACACAACGGCCCTGTATGATAGCACATGCCATATACTGTACCTGTAGTACCCCACCTAGGCTAATATTGGTCATTACAATTAATTAGTATCTAGCTTTGCTTCAGTCTTCTTTTAGTTGTATCATTATAATGATTGTGTATATCCTTCTCTTTTTTCTGTTTACTTCACTCTTGGATAGTTCCCCCTATTTATGTCCAACTAGTGACCACTGAGTTTTAGTCTCAGCCTGATTTATTGAAGGTCCAGAGAACAAAGACAAAGTTTCATGGTTTAATTATAAAGCACCTGGAAGACAGATTTATAAACTAATTGAAAGAGATGTTGTCTAACAGCATTGACATTCACTAGACTTCATTAAATGATGGGGAGAAGTAGCATCCTGAGGTAGAAGGAGTGCAGAAGGTGGAGTCAGAAGCTGAACTCAAGTCCTTTCAGTGATGTTCCATCTGCCACCTTGCTTTTGCAGGTCAACATTTATGTGGATGCTGTAGTGAATCATATGTGTGGGAGTGGCGTGAGTGCTGGAACAAGTAGCACCTGTGGAAGTTACTACAATCCTGGATCAAGAGACTTTCCTGCTGTTCCATACTCTTCCTGGGATTTTAATGATGGTAAATGTAAGACCCGCAGTGAGGAGATTGAAAGCTACAATGACATTTATCAGGTAAATTTTAGATGTTATTAATTAATAATATGTGGTTTATCTGAACCCAATTTTTCTCCCTAGCCTGGCTTCCCTAGCTGCCTTGCACAGTCCCATGTTCCTACCCTCTGCTGCCTAGATGGTTTGTGTACATGAATACCAATGTCCTCCTCTCCTGGACTATTGCAACAATCTCTTAATTGGTCCCCTGCTTCCAGTCTCTCCACTATTTAATCCATATCCCATACAGCTGCCAAAGTGATATTTCTAAACCACAGGTCTGACCATGTAACTCACTTGCTTAAGAAGCTTTAGTGGCTCCCTAGTACCTCTGGGATCAAATAAAAAAATCTTTCTTTTGGCATTTAAAACCCTCTCCCATTTGGCTTCAGCCTATCATTCCAAACTATTACATATCCCTTGCCCTCCCCCACTCTGTGCCAGGCACACTGACATGCTTGCTGTACCTCGTACATGACATTTTCTTTCCAAACACTTGCCTTTGTCTGGAATGGTCTCCCTTATTGCCTTCAAAATTTAGGTTAAGTACTATCTCTCACATTAAATCTATCCTGTTCCTTCCAGTTTTTAGTGTTTTCATACCCACTCTGCTCCCCCAATGATATATGTCCATGTTTTATTACCCCCAATAGCATGTAAGTTCCTTGAGGACTGCTTTATTTGTGTATCTTCAGCTCGTAACACAATGCCTCACACAGAAAATTCTTTAAAAAAGTATTAATTGGGGGCACAGTAGATAGAGCACCAACCCTGGAGTCAGGAGGACCTGAGTTCAAATTCCATAGAAGTTATATGACTTGTTTAAGATCAGGATTTGAACTTAGTCTTCCCGACTCCAAACCCAGAACTCTATGCACAATACCAATCTACCTCTAGACAAACATGAAATCATAACATCATAAGATATCGACCTGGAAGGAGCCACTTTGACCATATAATCCAACCTTCTCATTTTACAAATAAGGAAACCAAGACCCAGGGAGGATAAGGGACTTGCCCAAGATCATACCATCAAGATTTCAATCCAGGGTCCTCTGATTCTGGAGTTAGTGCTCTCTTCTTTATATCACACTAAAGGGAAACTAATTTTAAGATTACCCTAGCCAAAAATGCTTAAGTGCATTGTGCCTCAGGTGTTTAAAAGGAACACTTCAAAACTGGGAGCCCAAAGATGCTGCTGCTTATGCATCACGTATATTATTATTATTTTTTTTTACAGGTTAGAGATTGTCATTTGTCTGGGCTTCTTGATCTTGCCCTGGAGAAAGATTATGTGCGTTCCACGATTGCTGCATATTTGAACCACCTGATTGACATAGGTGTGGCAGGATTCAGAATTGATGCTTCCAAACATATGTGGCCTGGAGACATGAAGGCGTTTCTGGATAAACTGCACAATTTAAATACAACCTGGTTCCCTCAAGGAGCCAGACCTTTCATTTACCAGGAGGTACTAAGATAAAATGTGCGTAAATGCTGGGGACAGAGGTTGAATGATAGGGTATAGATGCAATGATTTTATTTGTTGTGAAAAATTATAATTTTGTTTAAATATGTATTTTCTATAGGCTAGCCAAATTGTGTGTTAAATCTGGCTTATGCAGTCCTGTATTGGGTCAGCATTTTCACAGGGTAAAAATAAAAATTGCCTAGATAATTTGAGACTTTTTTTTTTGGTGAGGCAATCAGGATTAAGTGACTTGCCCAAGGTCCCACAGCTAGTAAGGATCATGTGTCTGAGACTGGATTTAAACTCAGGTCCTCCTGACTCCAGGGCCAGTGCTCTATCCACTGTGCCACTTAACTGTCCCAATTTGAGGCTTTTTAATAGCATTCCTCCATAATGGAAAAATTCAAGTCTTCTTTTAAAATGAGAAAATTAATGTGAATATTTTAATAGCATATAGCACTAGAATTGTGGCATAAAATGCTACTATGATGACTACAGTATTTTGAAAGTTTCTATGCAACATTATATTCTTTTTCTGATTTCTACTAGGTAATTGATCTAGGTGGAGAACCAATTAAAAGCAGTGAATACTTTGGAAATGGTCGGGTTACAGAATTCAAATTTGGTGCAAAACTAGGCACGGTTATACGCAAGTGGAATGGAGAGAAGATGGCTTATTTAAAGTAAATGAAAAAGGGGGTTCACCTTTAGACTACTGCCCAATGAGTGTGCAACAATTCTACGCACTTGTTTATATGTTCCCAATGTAAACTGGGATCATTCTGAATTGATATCATTTAAGCATTTTTATTACACATAGAAGTCAATTTGAAAACATGAACTTTCAGAACTGTAAGAATCACTAGGTTTTAATTCAATCATGAGAAGATAGAACTATATTTGGCTAAGGCTTATTTTTATAATGTACTAAAACCATATGAATATGAGCATTTAAAAATCATTGGAATATAAAAATAACATGGAGCCTGACTGTGACACCCTTTGCTTTAATACAGATTCTATAATACTCTTTTCCTCTACAGAGAGTATATAAATACTCCAGTAAGTACTTAACATATATAGGGCCCAACTGAGTTTCACCTTAACTCTGAAATGTTAGAGCTGAAAGAAACCTTAGGAAGTAAAACTCATTTTACTGATGTGGAAATTAAGACCCAGAACGGTGAGGTGACTCATTCGAGGTTAAATTGTTAATAAGTGATTAATTCAGAATTGGATCCCAGTTTTTCTGGCTTTCAGTCCAGTTCTCTTTCTAGTATAATATGGGCATTCTGGATAAAGGTTACTGTTTATTTAGGAGTACCCTACAGGGAAAGAAGAAAGGAGGAACCTGTGAGCCATAAGTAAAACACTCCTTATTTCTTTGTACAGGAACTGGGGAGAAGGTTGGGCCTTCATGCCCTCAGACAGAGCACTTGTCTTTGTGGATAATCATGACAACCAGAGGGGCCATGGAGCTGGAGGAGCTTCCATTCTCACCTTCTGGGACGCCAGGTAGGTGGTAGAGTCCTTCATCTTTTTTTTCAAATCTTACTAATGGTTTCCAAAATTTTCTTCTTTTCTTTGATGAACATACTTTATCGCTTTCAGATTGTACAAAATGGCAGTTGGATTTATGCTTGCTCATCCTTATGGATTTACACGAGTGATGTCAAGCTTCAGGTGGCCGAGATACTTTGAGAATGGACAGGTATTTTTAATTTTATATAAGGGTCCTGTGGGAAGGCAGTGGGCAAAGATATAATCAATCAACAATCAATTGATCCATAAGCATTGATTGTTTACTATATGCCTACTGTGCTAGGTTTCAGGGACATAAAGCGGTATCAAAAATTAAATAAGGCATAGATCTTCCCATTATCAAGCTCACAGTCAATTGGAAGGAAACAGTGAATATACTGATAAAATGAAATTATACTCAGTAAGTATGAGAGAAAGACAGCCAAACCAAGTTCTTTGTGAGACCTGAAGCAGAAGAAAGTTTGTAACTTACTGGAAGAACCAGGGAAGGCTTCATGATGGGGTGACATCAAACTGAGCTTCAAAGCTGGATAAAGACGGATTGGATTCTAGGTACAGTGACTACTATTGAATTCTCCACCTAATTCAGAGAATATTGAAAATATTCAAGAGGTGGCAATTAGTGCAGTTTGGCTAAAGCATAGATTATGCGATAGAGAGTAAAAAGAGATAAGATTGGGGAGATATAATGGTCTCAGACTGTAAAGGTTCTGAATAATAGGCTGAGAAGCTTAAATTTTGTTCAATAGGTAATAGGGAGTTACTGAGGAGTTTTGAGCAGAAGATGATAGAATCTGTGAATAGGATCTTAGATTTAGAGCCAGAAGAGACTATAGGCCATGTACGTGGTTTTCAGTTGAGGATATTGTGGCCCAGAGTGATCTGTCCAGGTTCACATGAGGAGGAAATAGCTGAAGCAGGACTCCAATCGAGTAATAGAGAAAGAGAGAGGGAAGAACCAAATAAATGAATTCACTGAAGCTCATGTCTCTGTTTTGACAAATTAAGGATGTAAATGATTGGGTCGGACCACCCAATGACAATGGAGTGATTAAAAGAGTAACTGTCAATGCAGACAGTACTTGTGGCAATGACTGGGTTTGTGAACACCGATGGCGTCAAATAAGGTAGGAAAGCTTAGTTGTACCTGCCTGACAGCACTGTCTCAACAACTGATACACAGGTGTCCCAAAATTTTTAGTGCATATTAAAGTTTAATATCTTAATACTGCACCAAGGCTTTTGGTCTGTAATCAATTGTGTGTACACATACACACATACACACACGCACACATCCACATACACACATACACATACACACAAAGAGGGGAGAAAGGAGAATGCTCCAATCAAATGCGTGTATTAATATTTTGTATATTTTGTTTACAGGAATATGGTTATTTTCCGTAATGTAGTTAATGGCCAGGATTTTACAAATTGGTGGGATAATGGAAGTAACCAGGTGGCTTTTGGCAGAGGGAACAAAGGATTCATTGTATTTAACAATGATGACTGGTAAGTAGCAGTGCATTTTTTCAAAGTTTTATTTAAACATATTCTTGTCTGATTATTTTTTCTGACCCCTGACACTTTTATTGACATTCTGAAGGATGCTTGTATAGATTAGAATAGGTGCTGCTAAGTAAAGAGAGGAAAGAGGAGGAAAGAAGATGAAAGGGAGAGAGGAAAAACCTCTCAAATTAAGACTTCGTGAAGTACATTCTCAGATCACTTCTAACTTGAAGGAATTCTCTCTTTTTGCCTCTACATTTGAAAACAACAAAGTGAGCATTAGTAAAGAAGACATTACTATGCATCTTCTATTCTCTCTACCAAAACAATTCTCATATTTTTTTAGCAGGTTTTGGGCTTCATATTTACTCTGAAAATTTCTAAACTTACTAATTATTTTTTGTTTAAATATGTTTTATTTATGCCTTTTTATGTCCTAATTATTTTTTTATTATTCCCATCCTGTAGAACCATCCCTTGTATCAACCACAACCACAACCACAACCACAACTACAACAAACACAATACACAGTTAAGAAAAACAAACTGCATCCATGACCAATACAGTGAATGTGTTGGACAACTTGATGCAGTGGTTCCTTACCTCTTTATGTAGAGGTGGGAAATGTGTTTTATTTCCCAGATTCAGAGTGCTCATTAAAATTAGTCATAGTGTGTCTTGCTTTTAGAGTTCTTTTCATTTACATGATTATAATTGTGTTTATGATTATCTCTATATCACTTCATGTAAGTTTCCCACGTTTCTTGAAATTCTTCATATATGTCATTTCTTATGGTCCTTTGGTACTCTATTTTACCCATGTGCTACAATTTATTCAACTGTTCCCCCATGGATATGAATTTACTTGGTTTTCAGTTTTTTACTACCACAAAAAGTACTTTCATGAATATTTTGACATATTTGAAATCTTTCTTTTTGTCTTTGACCTCCCTGGGGCATATAATCATGGAGTCTCAGGATTAAAAAGTACAAACAGTGTAGTCACTTTTTTCACACAATTCCAAATTGTTTTCCAGGATAGTCAGAACGCTTCCTGGCTCCACTAACAGTATTAGCATACTTGTCTCCAATACTGAATTTTTCTGGTTTTGTTACCTTTGTGCCAATTTTCTGGGTGTGAAATAAAACCTTGAAGTTGTTTTATTTTGCATTTTCTTTTTATTAGTAATTATGAGCAACCTATGCTTAGTTTGTAATACTTCCTTTGAGAACTATTTGTTTATATCCTTTGCCTTTTTATCTACCATGGAATGACTCTTGGTTTAAAATTCCCAAAACATATATGATAACATATTTCTCTTGGAGTAATTGGTACAAAGATTTTTCCCCAGTTCATGGTTTCTCTTTTTATTTTAGTTGCATTGGTTTTATTTGTGCATAAGCTTGCCAATTTCATCTAATTTTTTTTCGTTTAATTTTGTGATCTCACCTATCTTTTGTTTGGTTGGGAGTTTTCTTGCTAACCATAGATGGCGATTCCACTCTCTTCCATTTAAAAGAAAAAGAAAACTTCAGTTTTTATTATAGTAGGGATTCCTTTCATATATCAATTGTACTAAAATGACCACTGGCTTTCCTCCTAATTCTCAAATTCTGGTTTCTTTTTCTTTTCTTTTATATGTTGCCTTTTGTATTCATCCTTTGAAACCTGCAGTAGTACATGGTATAAATTACTTGTCTAAACTTATTTTTGGCCAAAATGTGTTCCAATTTTCCCAGCAATTGTCATTTAACTTTCCAGTTTATCTGACTGTTTGAACCCTGTGTAACAGTTAGATGTTCTTCATTCCTGTTCACTTACTCTATTCCACTGATCTACTGTTTTATTTTTTATGCTGTACTTAATAGTTCCATTGATTACTACTTTATAATACAGTTTGAGGTCTAGATCTACTATTTCTGCCTTTTTGTCATCATTGTCTTTGAGACTGCAGCTTCAAGGAAAATATTTATATACATGGCTTTGGAACAATTTGGTTAATAGGTGACATTTTGGTTGGGGGTGATGGTGGTGGTGATTTTCATGGATAAGGTAAGAAGATAAAGTTATTATAAGAGATTAATGATATCTTTACAGATATAAAAGGTGTTCAAGATCCTGAGAAATCTCTATATAAATCTTGAATTCCAAAATGAAGCAGAGTATTGTAGGAGGCCTACTGAATTTTGAGTCAGGGGTCCTGGTTTTGTAATGTTGGCTCTATTACTATGTGATGTTGGTCAAGTTACTTAATGGTTAGGACTTATGCAGCGTGTTAAGATTTATATACAAAACACTTTACACATTATTTCATTGAACTGCACAACAAGTTTGTAAGGGTGTTGCTATTTTTATTCCCACTTTGCAGATGAAGAAACGGAGCTACAAAGCAGTTTAGTGACTCTCCTAGAGTCACACAGTTAGTGCCTGAGGCAGAATTTGAAAGCAGGTCTTCCTGGCTCCAAGTCACACTCTCTATCCACTGCACCACCTACGTTAATATCTCAGCCTCAGTTTCTTGATTAATCAAATGAATGGGTTTAACTAAATAAACTCAAAAGACACTTCTAGTTCTGCTTTGTTGTCCTCAATGAAAAACTATTTCTAATGCTGACAAGTGATCCAAAACCCTTATGTATATTCCAGTTGTACACTTTTAGGAAGGTAATGGATTTGTTAAACAGGTAGAAAATGCTGAGGGAGTAGGGATGCTGCATCATCATCATCATCATCATCATCATCATCATCATCATCATCATCATCATGCTAATAGTAACCCTGGTAAACAACATATCAGTGCTATATGTGAAGCTTTAAATGTATTATCTTGTTAGATTAGAGGGAGAGGGAAGAAATAAAAAGAAATTAAACTAGGAATAGTACTTAACAGATTATACAAAATGAGGAGGGAGGGGTGAAAAAAAGGAAGTGGTAATGGTTAATGTAGGAGTTGTAATAACACAACGTAGGGTTGGAAAGTTCTGGCTTTTAGTTCTGATTTAAGTTTTGGGAAATATAGATTGAGTAAAAAGATCTTCCAATTTACTTTCCAACTTCGCACACCACTTGTTAAGAGTGAGTAGGTCAGCAGCAGAAATTTACAAAGGGCATGTTAAACTTTTGTGGTCTTCTGGTCAGGTGGTTATGCCTTAGCATTTTAGATCCTTTAACAATCCTGTGTCAATTAACCTGCCACACCTGGAAATGAGTCTTCAACCTCCAACACTTAGTCTCCCAGTCTACTTACTGAAATAACAGAAGACAAAAGTGAACTAAGTGTGCTGCCTTGTCATAAATTGCAGATGTTTGTCTTTTTAATTCATATCTTCCATGCACAGTGACATCAACGTGCATTGACAATGGATGACTGACTTTACAGCTCAATCACTGAGGCACCAGATGATTTGTTTTTTTTAACTTTCAGTCCAAAACATTTTTTGCTACCTCAAGGAAAATGGTAAAACGATCAGATTTAAATTATTGAAAGCAACCAGTCTTTCCAGAATGGAAGCAATTAGTGCATAGATTTGAAGTGCTTCCATTTATCAAAAAAGATCATGATGAAAATCTATTGTAGATACATCTTTTCTGAAGTCTCCATTCTTGTCATTCAAATCTTCATCTTCAGGTATCTTTGCTTTGTTTGAAGACTGCCCATATTCATCGGAAACATTTCTCATTCTGGAGCCTCTCCATTTAAAGGATTTTTATTTATGGAACAGAGATACTTGTAATCTAAGCATCTAGGGTAGCCATGCTTGCATGTTTTTCAAAACATATTTCATATTCTTACTTTATAGTAATGGTTTGTTTTTTATTGTATAGGGCATTGTCAACAAATCTGCAAACTGGTCTTCCTGCTGGTACCTACTGTGATGTCATTTCTGGAGATAAAATCCACAACCATTGTACAGGAATTGAAATCTATGTTCGCAGTCATGGTCTTGCTTACTTCAGTATTAGCAACACTGCTGAAGATCCATTTATTGCCATCCATGTGGATGCTAAATTATAATCAATTACTGGATAAATAGCATTTCCTGACATAATAAGCAAAGTCAAACACATAATGATCAATTCCCTTTTCTTAGATATGGAATTGTACTAAAAATCAAGACATTCTCTCCTATCTAATATTAAAAAACTCTAACATCATGACATTTAAAGCATATGTTATATAATAATTAGAATGGAATGATTATATCCTCTATTTGATCCAATAAAAAGTGATATGGAGAGAACAGCAAAAATATTTGTGTTTATTATGAATCCTCTGTTATTCTCTGTTTTTATTCCTCATTAATGGAAAACATGGGACTTTATTTTGTTTGTTTTATTTCATGGACCACTTTAATGGGGGCAAAATACATCAGAATTGTTTCCACTTTCATCTTCAAAGGAATTTTCCTTCAATTAGCAGACAAAATGGTTATGCTTTTAATGAAATGGTATATAGGCTTATGAATATCATCTGAAATATAATTGTAAAGGTTATCTAATCCAAATTCTTATGCAACACATGAATTTCCCCCTAAGTGGTCCTTTAGCTTCTGCTTATTTCTTTCAGTGATACATTAGATGTCACTTCCAGATTAGAGTCATGTACAAATTTAATAAATATGCCTTCCATGGCTACATCTAAGTAGTTAGCTGGCCTTATTTAAAGCTTTAAGGTTTGTAAAACAACTTTGCAAATGTTATCATCAAAATAACCCTTTGAGTTAGATGATATTATTATCCCCATTTTACAGATGAGGAAACTGATATGAATAGAAGTTAAGTGACTTCCACAGAGTCACACAGTTACTATTTATCTGAAGTCAAATTTGAACTCATTTCTTCTTTACCTTAAGCCTAGAACTCCACTGAATGTGCCACCTAACTGCCTAGTACACATTATTGAGTAGGACATGGTAGAAAACAGTCAAAATATCATAAAATACATCCCTCAAGTGTGATATCAACAATCAGTCAATCAACAAATATTTATTAATGGTCTGTTATATATTAGATATTAAAAAATACTGTTAGGGTCCAGTATTTGACCACATGTGTGCATTGATCTATACTGTCGGTCATGCAGCATACAGTTAACCATCTTGTCCCCAAGCTTATCATAAACTATTAATTCACCCTAGAAACAAAATTATATCCATATTAATATATAACATATGTTATATATAACATATATGTTATATAACACACACACACATATAATCCTCCTAGAGAACAAATGGCCAGTCTGGAAAGAACAATTTGAAAGACATTGCTCAGTATAAATAGTAACAGCTTATATGTGTATGGATGTTAGCTCATTATTTCATTTGAGCCTCACAATCCTGTGCGGTAGATAGTAGTGTGATATTATCTCCTCTATTTTACAAATGAGGGAAGTGAGGTTTTTAGAGGGAATCTAGTTGCAAGGAGGGCTAGCTAGGTTGCACAGCAGATAGACTGCTAGCCTGGAGTCAGGAAGACTCATCTTCCTGAGTTCAAATTTAGCTTCTCACTTACTAGCTGTGTGATTCTGGCAAGTCACTTAACTGTGTTTTCTTCAGTTTCCTCATCTGTAAATTGAGCTGGAGAATGAGACAACATACCAAAATTTATGGAATGCAGCCAAAGTATACTCAGGGGAAATTTTATATGTCTAATTGCTTACCTCAATAAAATAGAGAAAAAGCAGATCAACGAATTGGCCACTCAAGTGAAAAAAATAGAAAAAGAACAAATTAAAAACTCCAAATTAAAAACCAAATTGGAAATCCTGAAAACCAAAGGAGAGATTAATAAAATTGAAAGTGAGAAAACCATTGAACTAATAAATAAAACTGGAAACTGTTTTTTAACAGAAAAATCCAATAAAATAGAAAAAAGTTATTGGTTAATTTGATTAAAAAGGGGGAAAAATCATATTACTAGTATCAAAAACTAAATGAGGTGAAGTCACCACAAATGAAGAGGAGCTATTTTGCCCAATTATATGCCAATAAATATGACAATTTAAATGAAATGATGAATATCTACAAAAATATAAATTACCAGATTAACAGAAGAAGAAATAAAATACTTAAATAACCCAATATTAGAAAAATAAATTGAACAAGCCATCAATGAACTTCCTAAGAAAAATCCCCAGGACCAGATGGATTCACAAGCAAATTCTACCAAACATTTAAAGAACAATTAATCACAATAGTATATACACTTTTTAGAAAAATAGTGAAGGAGTCCCACCAAATTCCCTTTATGACACAATTATTGTGCTGATACCCAAACCAAGAAGAGCAAAAACAGAGAAAGAAAATTATAGACCAATTTCCCCAATGGATACTGATGTAAAAATTTTAAATAAAATACTAGAAAAAAATACAACAATATATCACAAGGATCATACACTGTGACCAAGTGGGATTTATACCAGGAATTGCGGGACTGGTTCAATATTAGGAAAACTATCAGCATAATTGACCATATCAATAAAAGAACCTACAAAAATCACATGTTTATCTCAATAGATGTATAAAAGCCTTTGACAAAATACAGGACTCATTCCTATTAAAAACACTAGTGAACATAGGTATAAATGGAATTTATCTTAAAATGATAAATACTATTTATCTAAAATTATTAGCAAGCATCATATTTAATGGGGATAAACTAGAAGCCTTCCAAATACAATCAGGGGTGAAGCAAGGATGCCTATTATCTGCTCTATTATTTAATATTTTACTAGAAATATTAGCTTTAAGATAAAAAAAAGAAACTGATGGAATTAGAATGGGCAATGGGGAAATAAAACTATCATTCTTTGCAGTTGATATGATGTTATACTTAGAAAATCCCAAAGAATTAACTAAAAAACTACTTGCAATTATTAACAACTTTAGCAAAATTACAGGATACCAAATAAACTCACATAAATCACAAACATTTCTCTCTCTCTCTCTACATATATACATATATAAATATATATACATATATATGTACATATATATGTATATATATATATGTATCTCAGCAAATTCCATCAGCAAGAGGTAGAAAGAGAAATTCCATTTAAAATAACTGTAGACAACATAAAATACTTGGCAGTCTACTTGCCAAGACAAACCCAGGAACTCTATGAACGCAACTATAAAATGCTTTTCACACAAATAAAATCAGATCTAAAAAATTGGGAAACTATTAATTGTTCATGGGTAGGCTGAGTCAATGTGATAAAAATGACAATTCCACCTAAATTAATCTAAAGTGCCATACCAATGAAACTATCAGAAAGTATTTTATAGAGTTAGAAAAAAGTAACAAAATTCATCTGGGATAAAAAAAGCTCAAGGTTATCAAGGTAATCAGTGAAAAAAATGCAAAATAAGGTGCTCTAGCTGTGCCACATCTCATATTTATTTATATAAAAATAATTATAGCAGCTCTTTTTCAGGTGGCTTAGAGTTAGAAACTAAAGGGATGCCCATCGATTGGGGAATGGCTAAACAAACTGTGGTATATGATTGTAATGGAATACTATTGCACTATAAGAAATGATGAGCAGGTGGATTTCAGAAAAACCTGGAAAGAGTTAAATGAACTCATGCATCATGAAGTTAACAGGACCAGAGGAATGTTGTACAGTAACAGCAACATTATTTGATGAAGAATTGTAAATGACTTAGCTATTCTCAGCAATACAATGATGCGAGATAATCCCAAAGGACTAATGATGAAGCATATTATCTGCCTACAGAGAAAGATTTGCTATTTATTGAATATAGACTGAAACATTATTTTTTTCTTTCTTTTATTCATTTTTTCTTTCATTTGTATCTAATTTCATTTGAGACTAATATAGAAATGTTTTACATAATTGCACAGGTAAAACCTACATCTGATTGCTTACTATCTGAGGAGAGGTGGAGAGGAAAGGATAGAATTTGGAACTCAAAATTTTAAATAAAAATATTTAAAATAATAATAAAAAAGTTTCTAGGGAACTAACATATTTTATTAAGTAGAAACCAAGTTTGAAGCTTTCTTCCTGACTTTAAATTTAGCACTATATGCAACACACTATGTTGCCTCTCCATTGTTATTTTAAAAAAATATTTTAAACAAATTATTGATAAATTTTGTTTTTCCATTACAAATATTTACAGATTCCTCCTACTTTGTGAGAGGTCTCTTGTAACAAAGTAAAACAGTTGAGTAAAATTAATAATGTAATGATCTCATATGAAAATGTATAAATATTTCCCATCTGTAGCACCCACCTTCTACTTCTCTATTTTGTTAAGTTTACAGAAATCTATTTTCTCTCCCTCACACATGCCACCACATAAAAAAAAAACTATTAAAGCTTTATATAACAATTATGTGTAGTCAAAGCAAATATGTAACATATATTATATTATAACCTATTCTTGCATCATTCTGCATCCTAAATCCATCATCTCTCCTCTGGAATCTTGGTCATTGCACTGATCATAATTCTTTCAGCTCTTAAAGTTGTTTGTTTTTACAATGTTGTTGTTATATAAAATTATTCCCCTAGTTCCACTCATTTCATTCTTTAGTAATTTACAAAAGTTCTCAGGATTGTTCATTTTTGTAATATTGATACTATGGTATAAATTGTTATGGTTCTCTTTCTTTCACTCTGTATCAATTCATATGTGTTTGTACATCTTTTTGAAATCACCCATTTATTATTTCTTATAACTCATTTCTTATCCCCATCACATATTCATATGCCACAGTTCATTCAGCCATCCCTCAATTGATAGGCAGCCTTTTAGTTTCCAATTTTTTTTGCCATCAAAACACAAAAAAGCTTCTATAAATATTATTATATATAAAGGATCTTTTCCTCTTTCTTTAATCTCTTTTGGGTAGGGGTTTAGAAGTGGTATAGCCGGGTCAAAGGTATGCACTATTTAGTACCTTTTTCTATTTATTTCCAAATTGCTTTACAGAATGGTTATACCCCGTCACAGGTGTACAATAATATGTCTGTTTTCCCATAGCCCCTCCAATATTTATTATTTTCCTTTTTTGTCATCCTTGACACTCTGAAGGGTGAGAGGTAGAATCTTAGAATTATTTTAATTTGTATTTCTTTAATTCAGAATTCAAAATCAATTTGAATGATTTTTTTTTATATGGCTATAGATATCATATGTTTCTTCTA